TGACTGCTCATACCACGAAAGCTGTACGAGCGGCTGGTCGATTCGAAGCTGCGGGAGCTGGTCCCGATCTCCCAGGAACAGTTCGGGTTCATGCCCGAAAGATCTACAACGGATGCCATCTTCATCGCAAGGCAAGTGATGGAGAAGTATCGAGAAAAGCGCCGACCCTGCTACCTAGCCTTCCTCGACCTGGAGAAGGCGTTCGACCGGCTACCGCGAGCAGTACTATGGAGGTCGCTCAGGGAACGAAACGTGCCAGAACACCTGATCTCGCTGGTGAAGGACATGTACGAAGGAGCCAAAGCAGCTACTACGCACCCTCACGGTCTAACAAAGGCTTCTGAGCCCGTTCCTCTTCCTCCTAACACTAGATGTCCTGGTGAGGGGCTCATGGAAGGACCATCCTCTACGCTGACGACATCGCCCTGATAGCGGATAGCAGAGAGGAACTTCAAGCCAAGGTGCAGAAATGGCAGAAGGTCCTGGCAGAAGTGTGTTATGCACAATAGCTGGCATACGCGCATTGGGCACTATTTACCCTTTATTGTCCCACTCCGAAACTGAACAGGATTTTGACGAATTTTCTTTGACCGAGAATTCGGCTAGAAAGCTCGGGATCAGTTTGAGCCCGAGCCACGGAGCCCGAATATCTCGCTCGTTGGCGTAAAAACACCTGGCGCTTGCGCCACAAGTGCCGGCGCCAAATCGCGCCCGAACACCCTGCGCCACCAAATTTGCCGAAGACGTGTCGTCTAGGGTAGTTTAACCCGTAGAACACGAATATCGCATTAGCTCTTCGGGAGTGATCCTGTATTCTGTGCTAATGCACGGGCGGAAAAGTCAAGTGCGCACGAAAAATCACAAACTGCTTTTTAGGTTGAACACTAAACTCACTCTTCAATAACTTGGCCTTCATGTTTGAAATCTGTGTAGTTGTACATTAGATTGATGTAATGTAGCATATCCTGGTTTGAATCAATTGAATCAAAGTTTGCAATCGGTTCCGAGCCCATTGCATCACTTCCGACAGCCACCAACGCTACACGGGCATTCCACTGGGAGACATCGTAAGCGGACATCACGGACGTTACGAAACCGCTCATCTGAAGCAGATCACTCGGTGATTTCACCTCAGGAAGTTTCTACAGTGTTTTCACGTCTTTTGCATTTGGCGAGTTCTAGGAATTGAATATTGTACGGGTGCAGTGCGTTTTAGCTCTAAGACTTCAACCACCGAGAACTCGAGGCTTCAACGGTTCCCAACCCATGCCTGTGAAAAACATAAAACAGCAAAAAAGCTGTCAAAATGACTTCCCTCCCGCAACCATGACCTTTCAATCTCTCAAACACATACAGCCGTGTGACATTTTCACCTTCCAGAACACCAATGGCAACCCCTCCCAGAAACCGTAGGCAAGACCCCCGTAATCGGCTGAACAGACGGATTAACCCGACTGAAAAAATTGGTGAATCAAGCTTTCGTACAACTGTGAAAACGACACTGTGATTACAGCCATTTGGCGACGAATTTTCATCGCAAACCCTACATTTGCCACCTCATGGGGTTTAGCACAAACCTGTCTTCCGCGGCTAATGGGCCGTGCACGGTTGTATCGCTTAAATTATTAATCCTTGACTACACTAGCCCGTTGTGGGCAAATTTCGAGCTTTTAAGTGTGCACATTCAAAAACATTCTAATTTCAAAGATATTTTTCTGCTTTTGTAAATATGGCCACAGGAAATAGCAAGCTTCGTTCTGTGCTTTCGGAACATACATCCTGAAAATACGATGACAGTTTGTTTTTTTCGCTGATTGTTGCCAAAGAATGTGTACACTGGGCAATAAAATGCTGGAGAAACTTTACCAGTCCGAAAAATTCTATATTCAGTTCCCTGCCATGGTATAAGGCCAAGTAAAATCACGAAGCTCAAGGAAACTGCGTTAGCAGTCGGATATGAGCTCTTCCATACCTTGCCTTTAGCTCATATGCGCTCCGTAGATCCTACCTGCCCCATGCCCCAACCGTCCCAAACTCGACCCGGACTCTTCAAGTGGCTGTTCAGGTAATAAGAAGTTTGTGATAGACACAGACTTAGCACTTCATGTGAAGTGGATAGGGATAGGAAAGCTGAGCACCAACGAGGTGCAACTCACTTCATCCAATCGCCCTTTGGCCTCTTTACTGACATCGATAAGGAAAAGAATATCGAAGCGAAGCATTTGTTTGCGCACTGTGGTTGTACTAGGAGCAGTGCTGGTGGTGGTCGCAGGCCGCTCTGTCGTGGTCGTTGATAGCTCGGGTGTTGGTGAAGACGGCATCGTAGCAGTAGTCGTCACATTTGGGCGCACACAGTAGACCTTGAACAAGTGGAGTCTCAAGCGAATCGGACATAACACTCATGGTGGTTGGGGAACAGTCAAAACATGCAACCTTCCTTTCAATCTCTCAAACACATACAGCCGTGTGACATTTTCACTTTCCTGAACACCAATGAACAACCCCCTCCCAAAACCGTAGGCAAGACCCCCGTAATCGGCTGAACAGACGGTTAAGCCCGACTGAAAAAAATTGGTGAATCAAGCTCTCGTACAACTATGACAACGACACTGTGATTACAGCCATTTGGCCACGAATTTTCATCGCAACCCCTACACTTGCCCCTCATTCGTTGAGACACCAAACCCTGCCCTGCGCGCTAGATGGGCCCCGTGAAACGGTTACCGTCAAATTGTCCATCCCTTGTCTAACGACTTACACTAGCCTTTGTGCAAATTATCGAGCTTTTTTGAAGTGTGCACTTCATAAGGATCACCTAATTTCAAAGATATTTTTCTGCTTTTGTAAAATATTACACAGGAAATACAAGCTTCGTTTCTTTGCTACGAACGCACCCTGATGAAATCGCGAAAATTGACGTTTTTGTTTTTCTGCCTGATTGTTTGCAATAAATGTGTACATTTGGGCAATAAAATGCTGACCGAAACGTTTAACATCCGGAAAATTCTAATTTATTCTCCTGCCGCGTGCAATAGAGGCTCAAGTAATCACGAAGCTCAAGAAACTGCGTTTGGCTTGTCCAGATATGAGCTCTTTCCATAATTGCGCCTTAGCTCAATAAGTGCTCCGTAGATCCCTAAAACCTGCCCGAGCCCCAAGACTCCAAACTCCGACACGGTACTCTTCAGTGTGTTCAGGGTAAAAATGATGTGTGTTAGACACAGTTTACGCACAACCCAGGCAGAGGTCGTGTGAACTCTTCTCTTCGGTCAGAAGTATAGAACCCTAGGGGACAATCACAAATGTGGCGTTCACGTGCACGGAATTCGACCGACAAGAACGCTTTGGGCTTGCAAAGTAAGCTGCTCGAGCTGCAGCGAACGAGCTCTCTTATCAGGCCGTTGTCTGGTGCTCTCTCATCTGATGCGCTCTCTCGCCCCATACTCTCCTCTTCGCGCTTAGTCTCTCGTTCCTTTAGCACAGCCAATTAGGAAGGTGAGTGAGCCCTCAACCTGAGCGTTTTCGACGGATTCTTTTCCTTTTTTCTTCACTGCCGGCCCACTTGGCACCGATACATTCACATTCGTGTGCAAGAGCCACACCAGTGCGATCCTGGGGCATGCCTTTAACACTTCATGTGAAGTGGATAGGGATAGGAAAGCTGAGCACCAACGATGAGCAACTCACTTCATCCAATCGCCCTTTGGCCTCTTTACTGACATCGATAAGGAAAAGAATATCGAAGCGAAGCATTTGTTTGCGCACTGTGGTTGTATATAGTACATGCTGGTGTGGTCGCAGGCCTGCCTGTCGGGTCGTTGAATAGTCTGGTGTGCGTGAAGACGACATCGTACGTAGTCGCAACATTTGGCGCCAACAGGTGGCCCCTGAAAATTGATGCTCAATGGAATCGAACACCATGTTTTGGGGAACATTTGCTTCACTTTTACTGTGTTTAATCTATGAAAAAGTAATCCAACCTGCATGTTCGTGACCAAAACAGAAGACCTGCTCCGTTCTTCGGAACTGCTTGATTGTATTCATCCACTCCATAAATCGAAAATTCCAGTGATTCCGTCTGACATACGAACGGATCCGAGTAGTACTCGAATGCACACATAGCTCGTCGGTAAAGCCCCGAGCGCATAATCATCTGTAAGTGAAAGATCATAAGCTTATCAAAAAAAAAGAATTATTCGTATCTGTTTTCAATACCAGGAAAATCAATACCAATCACCTCAGGGGAACAGCGCATTTTTCCAACGAACGGAAGAAGAGAGCGGTAGCATAGCTTACACGCCATTACCCCGCATCCCAATCAGGTCAAGTCCTATCGTTGTTACTTTTTCAAAAATTTTTACGACCCCCCTCCCCCAAGGTGGACTTTGGTACGACCCCCTTTTCCACACCTCGACCACCATATTCCTCTCTATAGTATTTAATTCTGGTACCACTCAACCCACCAAACTCCGCCCACTTTTTCCTCCAAAAATGCCGTCGAGCGGGGGGGGGTATATACTCACTAATGATTACCCCACTTCTACCTATAATCCCACTGCTTCATTTTCTAGGGGGGGGGGGTATATACGCGCGCTGAAACGGCGAATTTTTCTCCCATGCGCTCCCAACTCACCTAGCCTACTACTCGTGAAAACTCCACTTTCACCACAAACTCACATGTACTTTCACGCGACTGAAGCGGATACGACCCAGGTACGACCCGTTGTTACTAGTAACAACGTAAGATCGACCCTGATCCCATATCCCACATCTCACTTTGCATCACGTCTCATCTCGATGCAGAGAATATACAAAACTTTGACCAAGGAATTTCCCAACATTTTCGCTTTTTTTCCACAAGAAACCTGGTTCAGCTTTCTCAGGCAAAACAAATCATCATAGCGATTCTCACTGTGATCGCTATTGAAAGGTTACCGTTCGTGGAGCGTTACTGAACACCTCGACATATTCAAGAAAGATTGGGGCCCCCCCTCGTGACGTGCCCTCCGAGGGGAATGTGCGATATTAGTATAAAATTCGGCAGAACTAAAATACGTCAGCAATCACAATCTAACATCACTACCCAAAAACATCCATAAAGCACCAGTCGTACCTCCGGGAGCTGGGTGTGGCTGCTGTCCATCAGTGTGTGATCCAAGGGGATCGCTGACTGTTGTGTTTGCAAACCCTGTGTAGACTTTGGCACCGCCATAGGAGTACACGTGCACGTAGCAAGCCCGCAGGAGATCTCAACTGAAAATGAGAGCAGAGTCAAGAGGAAAGCAATAAACAAAAAGCAAAAAAAATAGAGAATTAAAATAGCTGAAACATCCATGGAACCGCCCGTACCGAAAGCGTATAAGTTCCTGGCAGGCCTTCAGTATTGATCTCATACAGCTTCGTACCACCGACTTTGAATAGCACAGTAGGCGCTAGCTCCTCTGCAAGGAGAGAGGAGTGAGGTTTAGACAAACAAGAAGCCAAAGACAAAGAAGCCGAAGTAGAGCTCGCGCATGATAGGCGAGAGCCCAGCCACATTTCTCATTGCTATGCGCGCTGCCTTTAACACGCAAGAGAATTGGCAGGGGAATGGGGAAAATGGACAGTGAAAGACAACCAGCCCGCTCAGTACGACCTCCTCTGGTCGGCAGGTAAGCTCAATGATATGTGGCTGTGACATTGCCATGCCTAATCTCGTATATTTTTTCAACAGAGCACTTTAATGGCAACTCAGTGGAGCAGTTACAGTAGTCTCAAGAGTTCGCCGAAACGATTTTCAGATGCATTATTTCGGTGCTAACATAGTTGGGGGGGGGGACGACGCGGCGGCGCTGCTTTTTTGTCTTGCCACGTGATGGTGAAATAGTAACTGCTCCTGGGACTAGGCCTTGGAGGAGCAAGGCGAACAGAGCGCCGCACCGCCGCGTGTCCCCCCCCCCAACTAAGTCAGCACCATTATTTTTTCTCTTCAGAGCAACACCCTCCAAAGTTTGATATACTATGTTCCCTAGTGTTTTTATATCCTCAAGTCTTAAGAATCAGGATATTCAGAAAGAAATTTTAGGCCACCATTGATTTTTTTCTGGCAAAAAAGAGAAGCACGGAAAACCGTTTCGGCGTACACTTTTGACCGCTACTGTAATTACAACAAGAGTAAATTTCATAAAACCTTCAATGATGCGGAGTACTCACGTTTCAGCGGATTGATGACACCAAGCGATCCAAATCGCGATGTGGCTGCGACAAATATTGAGGCAGTATCCTTGCCGATTTGCACATACCAATCAGAATTGCTGGTACACTTGAACTGTGCAGGATATGTAGGATTGGTAAGCGTTGAGATGCCGTACAGAGTTGGGAGGAAGGCGGCCAGGTACTGCAAGATTGTCGCTGTGGCATCCCGTAGAAATTTACATACAAGGGTGGGGCATAAATATGGTGAAAAGATTGTACATCAGCAAATGCGTTTACTGAACAATGAGCAGAGCTCATGACTTGATCCTTCAGATTCGCAATTTAGTTGAATGACCCCGTTGGTATGGAACTGGTGGGATTCCTAGTCTCACGGGTTGCCGGGTTGGATTCTTTCCAAGATCTGCCGTATTCGAAGGATGCATCGCCAGACCGTCATATGACTCTCTATTGCAGTACACATAATGGTTTTTCTCAAGAAGGTGGATCAGTTACGGAACCGAAAAGATGGCTGAGAATATTCTCAAATAGGTATCCACCGCAAGATGGTGAGGACCATGCTAAAATTGGCCGCAGTTCGACAATATCGGGATAAATGGTGCGAAGAGCTCTGCAAAGAAAGCTGCATAGAATACAAGCTTACGAATACCATGAATGACAAGATCCCTCAGATGAGGGGAAGGAAGAGCAGAGGTAAAGCAACCGAGGGCTTTGATTGCCGGCCACGAGGGCCATGTACATACACCAAAGAGGAAACCTCTAATATTTTTCATGGACGATCATGCCTTCAGTCGAGAAAATTCAGAAATAATTACTACGATTTTCAGAGAAACTAACAGGCAGGAACAACACCAATCAGTTAGGCCAGTTGCTATCCAAGAGACCTTTTTCAAAGAAGCTCCCCTCACCTTTACTACTCATAACGACAGCGTGCACTAGCAAAGGGCTATTCCAAATTTGGACCAAATTTTGTGGAAGTCTGCTGCAGAGCCCATTTGTTCTACTTTGAATTGCACAAAGAATTATTGCTCAATAGTAGTAGCTATAATCTCTAACGCACCTTGTTGAGGTCTGTGCCATCGACGACTGCCACACTTCCCCCGGATCCATAGGCGGTTGCAGCCATTGAAGCCATCACAGAATCTTGAGCTGCACATCCTTTCGTCGACATATAAATGTAGTTCAACTGAAGAATTAAATAAATGAAACCATAATGAAGTCTGATGAAAGACTTAGAAACGTATAGGAAGGGGGATAATCAAAGGCAATGAAGATGATGTGGAATGCGGAGCCCCAGCCACAGCTGCCACATAGGCCACTTCAGATGATCTATTTGACATACCACTGAATTATTTCACTGCTGCTCTGGGTGATAAGTAAAAGCATGGCTTGAGGTTTCACAGAAACAATTTATTCAATAGAGACTTTTCGATTAAAAGCATATCTTTCATGCAAGGGTTATACATCTACCATGAACAGTGAAAAAGTTTTTGGTTTTTTTTAGTTTTTCGTGGCCTTAAAAACTTATAGCATACATCAAGTTAGATACCCAGTTCAGCGCAATTGTGCCGATCAATGGAAGGTTATAGGCTAATTTCACCAAAAAAAAGCCATATGTTGAAGGCACGGTAATGATTCGTGGACATCTATAGTAATAATACATTCGCGGAAGCCCGGGCTCATTGCAGTCTGGGGTGTGTAAATGAATTTCTGAATAATTCGTGCGGCAAGACAAGACATAAATAAACATGATACGGAATCGGGTGTTTGAGAAGGAACAGTGCATGCGCACCAAACAAGACTGGGAACAGGTCGGTCCTATCGTTGCTACTTTTCGAAAAATTTTTACGACCCCCCTCCCCAAAGGTGGATTTGGTACGACCCCCCTCTCGACCCTCGACCACCATATTCCTCGCTATAGTATTTCATTCTGGTATCCACTCAACCCACCAAACCCCGCCCACTTTTTCCTCCAAAACAACAGGGTATATACGCGCGCTGAAACGGCAAATTTTCTCCCGCGCCACTCCTCCCTCACCTCATGCAACTTCTCACAATCGAAGCAAGTACGACCCCCCCCCCCCTCTACAACCTCATCAAAATATACGACCCCCCTCTAAAAACTCATCAAAGTACGACCCCCCGTTGCTACTTGTAGCAACGTAGGACCGACCCTGCTTGGGAACTCTAACCCTTTTCTTAAGATTTTTTCATCTTCTCGAGCTTCTCCCCCATTTGCCCACCCGGTCTCGGCTGTAAGGCGACTTTACTAGAAACCAGGAACTCTTGTTGAAGGTGACATTCAGTTCGTACTACCATTACCACCTATCTACCCAATAGCCTTTAATTTAATTATATTTATTTATATTCTTTTTATATTTATACATCATATATTTTGCATTATCATTTTACTGGTGAGCACGCCTAATAGCGCATCGTGTATATGAGATGGATAACCACATAGTTGCTGCCGTGGAACTTCACTAAAAATGATATTTACATTTTCATGTAACGAAGTTATACGATAAGAAACTTACATGAGGTTGTCTTCACTCATAAGCTCGACGCTTCCCTGCCGAGCTTGGTCGTCACTGGGAACAGCAGTGGTGATGAGGAACAACTCACTATTCGGACTGACAGATTCCTTTGAAAGCGTCCTTGATAGCTCTCTGAAAGTATCCGCGGTTTAAGTGTGCTCAAGATTTTCTATGACAAAAAAATCGCACTAAACGCACTGGTAGATTGGTAGGACGCATTTTCCAGCACCGACAGCTCCACTAGCCGCTGAGCTCAAGCTGCTCACATAGTTGCTGAATCGCTTTGAACTTGGCCGTGGAGGTGGTGCCCGTAGCTGAATGAGGAGCAAATGTGGAAATATTATGATTCATATCCTCTGTAAATTGTATGGAACGCGGTGGACGATCCTAGGCGCCGATACCGGTCCCTCGTCGCGCACAGGAGAATATCTTCTGTGCAGCTTGGATGCTCCACTTCAATGAAACAATGAGAATTACATCAAAATAACTTAAAGAAGTTAGCAGTCTTCAAATGGTTCACATTTATGTACGGTAGTTACAAGAGCCATTGGTAACAAAGCAATGATTTACACAAAGGTAAATTCCCTTCAAAGCTTCGTCTACTCCCGTATTGGTTACTGACAAAGTCAAGCAATATGAAAACGTGCTCGCACACGACAGCTCTCGATGAACCTTTGTTTATTAAAATATATTTAAGGCATTGGAAGTACAGAAGACTTACAGTCAAAAGTGACAAGGACGTAGTCTGCAAACCAATTGGGGTGATCGGCGATGGCATCATTGACGATCGTTTCCAGTCGAGAAGTGAGCTGGACATAGCACATAATTATCCAGAGAAAATCCAAAAAGAACATGAAAAATGTGAAATAGAAAAATATAAAAATAGTTTCAATTCTCCTCAAAAATTTTCCAAACGTGATAAAAAGTCGATCCAATAATTTGTTGTTCCCGTAGCTTGTCCATTTCAGGAGTTCACATATTTTCTGAACGGTAGAAGCCAGAAACAACTTCAGTATTAGATCAAGGCTGCCGTAACCCAAACTATGCGTGACTTCTAATGTCAGATTGCATGGCTGCACTTGCCTCACCCTATATCCCATATTGTAAAAACACTAATTAGTAACTCGCCGCAACATACCCCTTTCACCGCCTCTAGGCTTTGTTTTGTGACTTCAACGACAAGCACCAACGTCTTTGCATCTGTTGAGAATGTGACCGGTGATGGCTCTGTGCATTCTTCTGGAATGTGGGAAGAGCAATGTGCTTTTTATAAACACAAAGATTTTTTCATGTGCTGGGAAGTGAAAAATCTGCCAATGCAGTTAGCCTCTCAGTCACTCATCTCTGAAAATTAGCACAATTTCATAACATTCGCTCTTATTTCATTTTCTTAGCTCTTACATCTGATGCAAACCAGTTTTAAGGAGAAAAACAAATAATCCATCAGTTTCAGAATTTCAGGGCCGCAGGAGTTTCCCAGCTTTTCCTCCGGCAAGTGAGAGCTGCACCCCAACTGACTCCTTTTGGAAATAAATGGCTATGCAGTTTTTTTTCCATGAGGTGGGCTTCAAAATAGAACATGCTCTCGCGCTCTCATACCAATTGCAAGTTGAAGTGCCTTGTGCTGACTGCTCTTCAGTAAGGAGAAAGAAAGTATTGTCAAAAAACTATGATATGCCCTAAGTCTGACTAATTTCCTTAGAGTGGACAAAGCAGTAGTGTAATTTGGTACGTGCAAGTTAGATTACGTCTTATGGGTAAAAAAATGCCAATTTTTCTACATGTCCTGGCAGTCCGCTATATCGGGCAAAAGAGCTTATCACAAGCTACTTGGCTCCATTATCCGGGGGAAGCTGTTGTTCTGTTAGGGACGCGCACACCACTTAGTCGTTTCTCCAATTAAAACATGCGGGTTGTCTCTTCCTTGACGGTTCTAGCGCCCCATTCCCTTATGTGCATAAGGCGCCGTAAATGCCCCCCCCCGAAGTGGTCCTCTACCCTTGTCAAAAAACAGAAGCATCTTCTTTTGAATTTATTGATATCATACCATATTCACAGTGAGGCCCGCTGTATCCTTTTGAACAAAGACATTGAGTCTTGGACTCGCTCAGTGTACCACCATTCACGCAAATCGGCACCTTGCAAGATGATCCTGAATTATATATTGTAATATTTTCAAATACATCGTATATGATGAACAAATGAACAATCACTCCTGACTTGTAATTCAAGTTCTTGCTTCTAATAACTTCCTTAGTGGCGGAGTTTACGGAAAAGCTTCCCATTATAAGCCCTAAGCCATGTAGAGATGGTCAGTGCTGTAGGGGACGAAAATCATGAGAAACGCTCCGTAACCTGAGAAATAGATACCTTTTGGCCCGTTGATTTCCGCATTGGAACCACTCTGATAGGTGCTGTCCTAACGCACTCTCTCCTGAACCAGACGGGGAGGAATTGGGCGTGCCGTGGCGCGCGGTGCGGACGCCACTACCTACGAGACGCGCATCGACCTGCTATCTTAAAGGGAGGAGGCTGCCTTCTCACTCGCTAATTCCTGCCATTCGGCCTCCGACCTTATCGTAGAATCCTCCCTCCATTAGCAAGCAATTTATCGCCTACTAAAGCTCTTGGTCATCCCTCAAAGATAACCTATTCCTGAATAACAAAGGTGTCCTCAGGCACGAGAAATCCTCCCCCTTATCGCCAATACAGCCGTTCATTATTGGAAAACACGCACTGTCCAATATCCGTGCATACACATGTGCCATTATACAGGACTCCACCATTATCACAGCCTGAATGTGAATACTTTTATAAACAAGAAACGAATGGAAAAGGCGAATTTCGTTCTCATGATCTTCCCCAAATCTCATACTCATTTTTTGCTGATATTCTGCTGCCTCCTAGGTGCTCGACCGCTCCGCCCGGGTACCCGATAGAAAGCCGCTGCGCCCTCCTTATTGGCGAACCCTCCTTTACAGATGATAGGGAAGAGTAGACATCTCACTTGATCACCTGTATCACCTGTCGTCCCGTTGATCATCGAATTGCTCGAGCGGGCGCCAGCAACGTCTCCATTCGTCCCTGTCGCGTGCAGAGTTGTCCAGTGGACCCTCCTCGCTCGAGGGACACGATGTCCTTCATTCCTTTCGTTCAGAGCTTTCGTGAAGAAGTCTGACCATCGGGCCGTCGTCCAGGTGTTCGTTTGACGTCCCGAGGGATCCAGTCGGTAACCGCTCTGGTCCAACGGTCATCGCAAAATCGCATGACGTGTCCGGCCCACCTTATCTTCGATTCCTTGGCGAAAACGGCAGCGTCCCTGATCTTCGATCGTTGGCGTAGTTCGGCACTCCGGATTCCCCTCTGCACTTGCGTGTATAGGGTTACTCCTAGCATCGTCCTCTCGACAGCGCGTTGGATAACGCTGACCGCATGCTCGTCCTGCCTGCGCAGAGTCCAAGTCTCTGAGGCGTAGGTTAGGGCAGGAAGGACAGCGGAATCGAAGAGGTGGGCACGGAGCCGGATGTTCTTCGTCTTCTTCACTACTCCCTCGATGTTCTTATACGCTCCCCAAGCCGCTCGTTTCCTCCTGCTCAGCTCTGGAGCTAGATCGTTCATCATATTGATTTCCCGACCTAGGTACACGTAGCTGGAGCATTCGGTGATGTTCGTTCCGTTGAGCGTGAATGGGGCATCAGGAACCAATCCGTTTCTCATAAACATCGTCTTCGTTAGGTTCAGCTGTAGACCGACCTTACCACAGGCGCAGTCGAAATCAGCCAGCATTCGCTCCGCTTGCTCGATGTTCGGCGTTATAAGAACGATGTCGTCAGCAAAACGAAGGTGGTGTAGTTGCCGGCCGTCGACCTTCACTCCCATGTCTTCCCATTCCAGTTGACGCATGACGTTCTCGAGAGCGGCGCTGAAGAGTTTGGGCGAGATGGTGTCGCCCTGTCGAACCCCTCTCTTGACGTCGATGATGACCTCCTTGTAGAATGGTGAGATTCTGGTCGTAAAGTTGCTGTAGAGCTCACGAAGAATCTTGATGTACTGAGTAGGGACGCCCTGGTTGCCCAAGGCTTCGATGACCGCTTCTGTCTCCATACGTTCGCTAATATTCAAGTTATAGGATGGCATAAAAGTGCGTTGACCTCGTGTATCTAGGCAGAGGCATAGAAGTACTAGTTAACAATAGCGTATAAAAATGCTTTCTTGAAAAGGTTGGCAATAGTCCCAAGAAAAACAAAAGAAATACATATTTCAGTAATCAAATGGTGGAAACAGTATTGATCAAATAAAAGCATCCCCAATTTTCCTAGTACCTACCTGGTATATCTGCCTGGGTACAATGGGCACGCGTCAGTCTTTGGAACAAATAGCCAAATTCATCTTCACCAACATGCTGAAAATGGATTAGAATGAGGGAATGACTATTTTTCGTTTTTTCTAACCTTTATTACTTTTGATACAGACACTCTAGTATTCTAGTTCTACTGCTTTTTTTGTATTAGATGTTGTGGCCGTGCAAAAAAGCTTCAACACGGTTGTCCCATACATTGTTATGAATTTTGTCGCATCATGGACAATATACAAACAAAACCTGTATCAGCAGAAGGGTCCTCTACCCTTCGTGATGGCTAGATGTCCTTCCGACTGATTTCTATCAATTGCTACCAGTTTTTCCTGTACAAGGTGCTGCATATTGAAAATTGAAACAGATCAACTACAGAACTTTACTTGTCCACACGAGCAAATAGGTCAAGCTCCATTACACGTTGTCATCGCAGCACCAGAGTCAACCCTGCGTTGCGCAGTTCGCAACGGCACGTTGAGAGATCCTCAACGCACGCTGTATGGGCGGAGACGCAGACGGCTCGAGCATGCGAGTGTGAATGTTCGCGCGAGAGAACGTGTCTAATCGGGCGAAACTGCGCAACGTGGCCGTTGAAAACTGCGCAACGCAGGGTTGACTCTGAGCACGCCTGCTCGCTATGTTTGCTGCGCATTTTTTTGGTGTACTTCTGACACCAGCATGCAATCGCCTACTACCGCTTCGGCTTTCCAAGCAAGGCCAGTATTGGGTATGCTTTGCCCAAGCTCTTGTTTGCTTTGATAGGTGAACATTCACTGTGTTCTAACCCGGTATTCGACTTCAGTATGTGAACTCAAATTGCGTGAGTGTAGTGGTGATGATTTTTTGTTCTCATGAGGCGTAGGACAAACTTAGGACCGTACCGCAATCATGAAGTCGTTGGTAACACTTTGAGTCTTTGGACAACTGAACGTCTGCGTCATCCACGAGAATGCGCAACCGGCACGCGCCTCGTAAGTGGCAGCATTGTAGAACGTTGCTGCAAATGTTTCAGTTTTTGGAAAATTTCTATGCATAGAACACAATTATTGATTCCAGAATTTTCAGCCAACAAGCTACCAGCTGGAAGATACTGTCAGCTTTCATGATAATAATGCTCATATAGTAAAGGTATCGTCATGTATATTTGTACTTAAAGCAGGTCAAAGGCCCCAGATGGTTATTCTAAACCGCTAATAATCGAAAGTTTTAAAATGCTGAGTGGGCAAAAATTTGCTCCAGCCGATCGAACCGGTCGCTTGCTTACCGAGGCTTTTGCTAGCAGGTCAACCACCGGGGTACCACTTCACCCCCAGCTCAGCTCCGATGGCAAAGCTGAAGAGCTCAGCCCCGATGGCAAAGCTGAAGTTGGGGAGAAATGGTGCTCCGGTGGTATTACTGGTAGCACAATTGCACGGAAAGCAAGAAATGTGGGTGAAAATCCCAGCTGGGGCGAAAGTGGCCCATATCTCATCTTGTGATAACTTTCGCTAGGCTATGCGGCGTAAACATCAGCTATCCGATGAATCCAAGTCAAAATGCTAACAATTGAGTGAAAAGGTGCATGAGTGATAACTACTGCCAAAATTTCTGCATCCCGGAAGAAATGATTACGGTATGGATGCTGAGTTGACTGAAAATGAAGAAAAAGCAGAAAACCGCCAATAAAGTCCTCAAACCACCCCTATTCCATCCCTTTGAGAGAGACACAGCCGTGTAGGGACGAGCTGAACTTGCTTGCGCCATGGGTATGACCAGGGCAAGGACGACTTGTTGACTGTAGATCGGTTAGTATTTGATGCTTATGTCAATCTGTGTCGTTATCGTGTAAGTGTCTTGAAAAAGTGCGGCGCCGTGGGGGAAACATGCGACACGGACCCCCGGAATGGGTCCGCACTTTTTCGAGACACCTACACGATAACGACCGTTCAGCGTAGGCCTCTGTGCTTGAGAGGGGAAGATTGGATCTAGTCTAGATGGTCGCCCAGGAACGGAACCTGGAGTATTCTTTCTGGGAATGAGCATATCCTCTCACAACAGATAAATAAAGGGGAACAGTATTCAGGTTCCATAAAAAAGAATGAATAGTAGTAATAGCATACCGTCGTAGGGGTCAGAGAGTAGAGCATGTGTGAGTACAGGAGTTTGATGTCCATAGCTACTTGCAGGATGCACATAGGAAATTATTCGGTTCGCCTCTGTAAATATCAAACGCAACACATATCCAAATCTTAAAAAAAAAACACGTGCAGGCGCTATCGTAAGATATGGGGGCATTGCTGCGGCAACATTCAAAACCCCACAAGCATCTTCTTTTTTGTTTAGTATGACTAAGCCCAAGGCGGGAGGAGAGAGGCCCGAGCGCTTGACCCAGGAGTTTTCCGTTGTCCTCGAAGTTTCTCCCACTTATGATATAGTTCTAGGGGTGCACGCCTTATCTTCGATATGCGCCCAATTCCACTTTAATACTGAATTGGAAGTTCACTGTCTGCTTCTCCCATACGTACTTTACATACAGGATGGTTTTGAGAGGACGTTAGCCATTCCTAGCTGACATACACATTTTTGAGCAGCTTTTACCGAGGCAAAAGTTCTGTGTCAATTTCCAAGGTTTGACCAGGGAGAAATTTCGACACTTCCCGAATCAGCTTTCGGTTCCATAGCCGGGTAATCCGAGGCTATGTTGGTTGTGAAACCGGCGACTACTTGTAGACTGCTCTGCATTCGCACACTAACCGAACAGATTTCTGGTTGATCGCCTGATGGGTTGACCGCTATGGTCATACTCCATTTTCCGGGTGGAAGATCGTCTAAAACAGGCATTTCACAAATAAATTAGGTTGTTTTCCTCGGAGACATGGGGTGTACTGAAAAAAAAACAAGCGGCAGCGCTCAGTGGCAGAGACTTTTGTTGCAATCGATACGTATTTCCAGAATAAGCAGCTGGCTGCAAGGTTACTGAGTATATGCGCACCCAAAGATTGTTTCTTGCAACTCTGATGTTTTTTTCTAAACAGAGCAAAACAGCACCGTCTCCACGTTTGCTCGGAGGATAATTCCTCTTTGTACTGATGCTTCTCACACACAAACGCCATCTCCTTGCCACAGGCGCCAGTAGTCCTGAAAAGCAGGCGGAAGATTCATAGCTTGAAAGATATGGTTTTTGATCGGGTACGACAACAACTTACCATGTGTTATTACCGGTCGCATCACCATCCCAGTATACGCATGCAGTGTTGGGATCATACGGCGGTGCAGCGCCTCCTCCTTTCCAGTATTGCTGATCTTGAGTTAACTGAATAGCGCTCCTTATTGAAGACCTCTAAATAATTTGCAGTGGTGCGGTTTGAATACCGGTAGAGGAGCGACGCCATTCGGACGATCCCACACATAACTGCTTCCGTTGTTGTACATTCCAATCCAGAAGCTGTAACCATGGGCCGTGTCTAAACGGGGAGATTACGGTAGAGTAAAGTATCGAGCCAATTTTGGTTTTCTTCAAGCACGCCAGAAAAAATAGGGTCTTTTTACCTTGCCTTTTTGCCTTGACTTCTCCTAAATTCATAATTTTCTAATGCGGCCAAAAATATTCAAAAAACAACGCCCCTACGTCTACTTAGTCC